CCGGGAACCAGCCCAAAGGTTCTGGAAAGGAGGCGTGACCAGAGGTGGAGCTTGGCCGTGCCTGGCATTCTTTGGAGGAGCGTGGTCAGCCAGGTGGGGTGTTGGCTGTTGTGTTGGCCGGCTATCTGTGTTGTGTTGCATTGTGTTTCTAAGTTTACTATGTTTGTTTTTTCTCATTCATTCTTACCTGGTGATGGTTGCATGTGTTGCAATCGAAACGTCGTATTCTGCCGGGTACTAGTCTATTTTTCCGAGTTAATTTCCCCCCGCATCGCCAGCGTTTGGCATTGCTGCTGCATTGGCATTGTTGCTGCATTGACATTGTTGCTGCATTGACATTGTTGCTACATTGACATTGTTGCTGCATTGGCATTGTTGCTGCATTGGCATTGTTGCTGAATTGGCATTGTTGCTGCATTGGCATTGCTGCTGCATTGGCATTGCTGTTGCATTGGCATTGTTGCTGCATTGGCATTGTTACTGCATTGGCATTGTTGCTGCATTGGCATTGTTGCTACATTGGCATTGTTACTGCATTGGCATTGTTGCTGCATTGGCATTGTTGCTGCATTGGCATTGTTGCTGCATTGGCATTGTTGCTGCATTGACATTGTTGCTGCATTGGCACTCGTGCACAGCCCGTGCTTCTGGTGTTGTGTATACACTTGGGCTACGCCCATCCCTAAACCCTTATAAAGTTTGCCTTTAGAGGCTGACTCCTTTGCCTGATGACGACCGCTTGTGTTGCGATCGAAACGTCGTGATTTGTTTTATTTTATTTCTACCTACGTGACTTTTCCGAAAGAACCAAAGAGTATGGATTCCTGCAGTCACGAAAACTTCAAATCAAAATTTATTTTCTTTTCTACGTAACTTTACTGAAAGAACCAAAGAGTATTTACGTTCACTATATATTTTTTACGTTATCTTGTATCTGTGGATTTTCTGTGGATACTCCTCTCACATCCAAAATAATGTGCTGATCAAGGAATTGGCCGAACCTCTCACAGGACATTCAAAACTTCGTGAGACCTAGACAGACTTTTCCGGCAAAATTAAGTACAGTAAATTATTATTAAAACAACATATACATCCATTCCTTCTTGTGCGCTATTAAGCTTAGAGTGGTTTTATACAGCAGCCTGAGGGAGCTTCACGGGAGAATAGTCTTCCACATCAGCCTCAATGAAGCCTCGACAGTTACGATTACGAGCCCACAGGTGAACCTCGATTGACACTGCAGGTCGCAGTAGTGTGGGTGTGACTGTGTAGGTTTGGGGTATTCCATATGTAAGCCTAAATCTATTTTTTGTGCAAAGGTGATGAGATTGTCTGAAACTTGTTAGTAAATCGAAGAGTGGCACCTCACTGTGGAGTGTGGCCTGGTTTGAAAAAGCCTGAGTTGTCATCCAAATAATGAATTCTTCTTTGCAGACTTCATTATTTGGATTGCAACAGCGAAGAATATTTGTTGCACTTAATATTGTTATTTTAAATTACAGCAAATGTATCAATGGATAATAGCAGCGTTGTTTTTGTTATCATGTGTCAATACCATGAAATACGAATTTATGGAAATATTGATAATGTTTGTACCTACTGCTTGAATTTATGCTTGTTATACAGTATTCACAATTGTCTGGAGGGATAAACACGTTTACCAAGAAGTGGGTGTGGTGAGGGACGGGGGAGGGGGGGTAATCTGTCAGTGTTCTCAGAGTGAATCTCGCCACGGGCAATCAACGCCTCACATCCCCAGGGCAGCAGGACCGACATGTAGGGTCATTGTTACTCCAAGACGAGGCAAGTGAAGTTGCATTGTTTAGTGCGCAAGAGACATTCATATATCACACCTCCACAGTGTTTTGCAATGTATTGATTATAAATATAAATTAAGGACACTCTTATTAACCTTATTAAGCAGTTTGTGTGCAGTTGCCAGATAGATTTTTGCATCACGGAACTGTGAGAGATGATAGTTTGGAGAAGCCTTCACCCAGCAGTGGATCGATCATAGATGGTGATGATTATTTGAAAATGAGGCAGACTAGTTAGTACTGGACTGGCCAATGGCTTAGTGTCCAGAAATTATATATCTCTACACATCAGGTGATGACTCTAATTCTGATATTGGACCATGTTTTGGTGTAAAAAAAATCAACTTATAATCAGAGATGTAGATATAGAATCTGAACTGATACAATAGTTATTTATTTATCCAGGACCTTGTTTTACAAGTGTAGTGTACTAATTCACAGACACGAGTAGGAGGCACTCTCTCTCTCTCTTTTATTCCGGCCTTCACAGCCGGAGGGGATAACCACACACCGGGTCGGGACAGCCAACGTGCTGCCAGACCCCCAGCTTGAAGAGGGCGAAGATCAAGACGGCAGCACGACGAGTTCCATTCCAGATCGCAGCAGCCCCGACTGTGAGTCGGAGCTCGTCCTTTTATCCTGCCCAGCGTGGCCAGGCTCCGCCCTCGGCACCGCACCCCTCTGGATCCCCCAGAGGGCTCCGTGCCTTGCCCACGGGTCCAACTGGTAGAACGGGCTGCTGCTACCCCTAACTGCATTGTCTACCAATCTCCCAGCGGCACGCGCTACAGTGACTCATTCAACGTCACGACACAAGCATCTTGCATTTGATGGTTGGACAATTTCTATTCCATGAGTGTTTTTCATTTTAGAGTTACCCGTTACGATACCTCGACAAAATAACACCTATATGAGGAAATAGCACTTGAAATCTGAACAGATAGGTTCACGAACCCATTGCTGCACTGCCATCTCCCACTCACCTCACAGCCCTGCAGGTTGAGCATCTGATAGCACGTGATAATCTGTATGTGATTCATAAATCCCATCTCCACAGCACTAGACTCGAGCCGTGTGTCACCACCATGACTAAATCCATAACTGCTACATGGACTGCTACAGAAACCAGGGCTTAATTTCAGCCAGTTCTGTATGCGTAAGCAACCCGGAAAATATGTCTACATCTGGCAAACCACATCCAGTATATTGCTCACTATAACTGTGGTGACTAGCCACTTGCCTCATCCAGTATACCTGTGACGCGGAGTATATTTAGTGAGAAATGAAGGCCCCCGCCCACCACTCCGAGATAGAAACACTGTGGTGAGGCTGACTGAGCATTCGTGAATTTTTCGTAAGGGGCCATCAATTTAGTACGTACGCATGGAGGGGGGAGTGGGGATTAACCCAAATGCATACACTTGCGTATGGGGGGTCTACTGACAATGTACGTACGCATAGGAAACGGGGGGGGGGGGGGGGGTGGGTGAAGCCTCGATAATAATTATTATGTAGACAAATTATAATTTAATTATAATTAAATTATGAGGGGGGGGGAGGGGGATGTAAAAAGTCCGCGTGCGTGTAGGGAGGGGGGAGGGGTCAAGTTTGGACAGATTTTTTGCGTACCTACTAAGTGGATGGCCCCTAAACATACGAGTACAGCCTTTCTCTCTGCTATGTCCATTACAAAACGCGTTATGCACGTGACACTTGAGCGCGAGGCTTTCCTTGCAGAATCCCCGGGTAGACGGTGCTCCCTTGTCCCCACTTCCTTCCCGCAAACCGCTCGCTAGTTTCCTGAGAGAAAGGTCACATTTGATGTGACTTTGAAAGGGGCAGCCACTGATGAGCTACTAACCGACCGGGTGACTGCACAATGGTACTCAGGCCCTCTCTGTCAAGACGTTGATGTTTTGCATTAGCAAGCAGATAAGTCATGTTACCAAGAAGCAGGCGAACTCGTAACATAAAGACGCTCCTTCATTGGGCTGACTTTATGTAAAACAAAACACTTTTAATCGTTAATCTGTCTGACATGTATGTGCGTGTGGCGAAAGCCATACGTGTAAACATTGTCAACATAGGATACCAGCAGGTCAGAGACTGATTGAGGTACCGTTTTCATAGAAGATCGGATAAAAAATAAAAGAATAGAAGGCTCCGTATAATTGTTGCACAATGTGTTGCGTGCAACGATTAAGCAACGTTCAATGTTTCATGTCTGACAAATTGAACGTGGAGGTCCGTTCCCAACATTTGCTTGTGAGGGTTAAGGAAGTACATCAGGGGGCAGAGGTCGTGTTTGAAAGGGCACATTCCCACACTGATGTTGAAATGGTCGATCACACACACACACTGGGGGGGTCACTCCACACACACACTGGGTGGGGGGGGGGTCACTCCACACACACACGTTGGGTGGGGGTCACTCCACACACACACACACTGGGTGGGGGTCACTCCACACACACACACACACACTGGGTGGGGGTCACTCCACACACACACACACACTGGGTGGGTGGGGGTCACTCCACACACACACACTGAGTGGGGGTCACTCCACACACACACACACTGAGTGGGTGGGGGTCACTCCACACACACACACACACTGGGTGGGTGGGAGTCACTCCACACACACACTGGGTGGGGGTCACTCCACACACACACACACTGGGTGGGTGGGGGTCACTCCACACACACACATACTGGATGGATGGGGGTCACTCCACACACACACACACTGGGTGGGGGTCACTCCACACACACACACACTGGGTGGGGGTCACTCCACACACACACACAGACTGGGTGGGGGTCACTCCACACACACACACACACACTGGGTGGGGGTCACTCCACACACACACACTGGGTGGGGGTCACTCCACACACACACTAGGTGGGTGGGGGTCACTCCACACACACACACTGGGTGGGGGTCACTCCACACACACACTGGGTGGGTGGGAGTCACTCCACACACACACACTGGGTGGGTGGGAGTCACTCCACACACACACACAGACTTGGTGGGGGTCACTCCACACACACACACACTGGGTGTGGGGGGGGGGTCACTCCACACACACACACACTGGGTGGGTGGGGGTCACTCCACACACACACACTGGGTGGATGGGGGTCACTCCACACACACACACTGGGTGGGGTCACTAATGTGATCGCCACGTCACTTTAACGTCGCATGTTTGATGTATGAAAGTCTAACTCCAAAGCACGATGTACATTGGCATTGGTCAATGATGCTTCAACATACTTACTGGATAAAAAAATAACAAAATTGAGTTTCCATGAGCTGATTATTATTGTAATAGCCCTTTACCTGATAACAAAAAAGTGTCCGTTGAAAGTCGGGTGTTTTGCGCAATTACCAATGCATAATCAGATAATGTCCTCGCTGTGTGTTCTGAGGCAATACTGTGCGCTTGCACTGTCTTTGCAAACTCGAGCACGCGGCTCCTTTAGGTTATTTACATTGTCAAGAGAACAATAGGACTCCGCCCCCTAGCCCTCAACGTTTTCAGCCTCCCTTCCCTGATGGCAGGGCATTTGCGGCTCAGCGTTGACACCGAAAAATATGAACGCAGGTTTTCTCAGCGGTGAGTTTGTTGAGATTATTTTTTTAAAAAGTTGCATATTTTACCTTTGGGGCACTGATTCATGTTTTTGTTTAATCAACCGCGTACTAGCCAGTAAAAGTTCGCTACACTTAAACAAAAAAATAATTTGGTTCATTTTCTGACACTTACTCGGGTCTGCAATTGATGTCGAAATGTGTTTTAGCAAGTAGAGCTCTGGTAAATTGTCTCTCTTATGTTTGTTAAGGTATATCTCACATCCTGGGTGTAAGGACGGGTAATGTGCTTATGGAGTACATAAAATATAATAGTCCTTTGACAATCATCAAACATAGAAGTGGAGAGCCCATAATCCATAAGAAATCTCATTCATTATGGATGGTCCAGGATTTATGGTTTTACAAGCTCCATGCCAGCTGATGAATGCAGCGGTTGTCACATGTGTGCTCTATGTCGTGTTCACTCAAACACACATGGCCCCTTACGCCACGCGCATCGTCTCGCACCGTCTCAAACTCAAAGGATGGCACCACACTTTCGACACTAAGAGGTATATCACAACGTGGGTGTAACGACGGGTCCACTCTGTTTGCACACCCGCGCCGTGCTTCTTTCTGACCCGCTCACTCTGAACACAAAGTCAGTTAATCTCATCCCCTGTAAAACGTTTGACTTCCTCCCCAAATAAAATTTCACTCGAGGCAGAGTGACATCACAGATGAACATTGCTGTGTGGTGCGGCGCTTATGGGGGGCTAGGGGTACAAAGGACAACTAAAGCCTATGGCCAAAAACAGTGGCAGCTGCTCCGACACGGGTATGCTGGGTAATGCCCCTTGCCCTTTCCTGGCGCTACTTTACTAAATACAGAGTGGAATTTTAAGGATTGCGACCTCTTGAGATACAACAACAACAATAAAAAAATTAAGACGTGATGAGTGGTGGTGGAGGTGGCTTTGGGAGGTCTGCATCCAGCAGTGGATTGACCATGGCTGACAATGGTGGTGATGATGATCATCAATGGAAGAAGAATCTCACAGTACCATACGAGGGGAGAACTACATGTCAAACGTTGTTTTGAGCAACGTTTGATTTCGCAACTGACAATAACTGGTACAGCACTTTGAATGTCCCGGGACGACTTGCGGATTTCCCACAATGGACAGTTACCTCGATATGAAGGATATGTGAGTGTCTACTTATTATTTTGTCATTTATATTCTCCACAACGATGCGAATGATTTTTTGAATTTTGTATTACAACATTTTTGCTGCTGAGACACTATGTTGAAACCGGTCCAGACTTGTCTTGAAACAATGCTGCTGAAATGATGCACTCTCAGAAGGCCGCTTGTGCTGCTGATGGGTTTTCTAAGAATTATTTGTTGTGTTAAAAAAAAAAAGATATATTATAGAGACATTGCTTTTTTTATTTTGTCACTTAAAAAAGAGGACCATCCTAGGAACATCAGCACAGTTAGCAATCTTAGTGTTACTCAGTGCAAATGCACGGAGCTTTAAATGACACTACTGCTATAGCCGGTCTGCCTAGCGTCAGGACCAATGAGGGGTTTATTTGTTGTATCGTAGTGTGGTAAAACACAGCCATAATGCACGGGGGATATGGAAACAGGTTTTTTTTCTGTGCCACAATGTAATATTGCTAACATATATAGCATTATATGTGTAATTACCAAAAAAGGGTTATCACTTGTCCTGCAGAATAACAAGAACACGTTCTTAATAAAAAAAAACCTTGATGAAGGAAATTAAAAATACCGTGATGCATTAATGGTGCGTCTATGTGAACGATTTGTGTCTGGCTTGAATTGAAGTTATAGCATTCACCTGAAGCGCAGGTTTTCCCACGTTTTATAGGGACAGATGCAACCCCATCTGAATTGCAAATTACACTCATGCACACTTGTACTGTACATGCCGAAATAGTCAATTAAGTTTTCCGTATCTGTTGATATTTGTGCACTCGTGAGGCAATGTGAGCTGCCGCCTCCAAATATAGGACCACAGAGCATGGGTAATTGTTGGAAGCAGTTCTGGCTATCTCCCTGCTTGTCTGTGGTTTCCCAGAACTCTGAATAATTTATTGCAATTGTTACGAAAAAGGCAATTTCACAATGTCTTGAACTTAGAGCAAAGTGTTAAAGCCATTAAGTTGCATAATTATCTATTTACGAGGAAGAACAGATAGATTTTTTTTACAAGGACTATTTTTTTTAAATGTTGTGTAGTTATTGCACTGATAATGAGGGCAGTACAGTCACGGCTCGTGGCTTAGTCACATTTGAGCAATCGGATCCATTCATAGCAATGTAATGGTTGTGCTGAAGTAGTAATACATCGGCATGTTCTGTTCACGTGGTGGGTGTACGACACATTTATATTTACGCGATGTAACCCAAAAAACGCTTGTCGTCCTTGGTATTGGTCTCGAAAGCCCCCTACGTATTACATTTACTCAAACAACCTTTTCAGAAACCTGCTGCTCTCCTTTAGGTCTGCCAGGATTTCAAAGGCTCTGCGTTTCATAATTGGAACAGAATATCCCGTAAAGTGATTTCCTGCCGTGAGGGTAAGGTGTTTTGACATTTACTTATTATTAAATGACTGTTTAAAATAGATATATTATTCTTGGTGCATGCTGGATTTTTGTTTTATCAGCCCAAGTGACCAAATGTGTGTTTTACAAAGTGTACTCAATTATACCCTGATAACATGAGAATGCTCACTTCACGATATTACCGGGTCTACTGAAAATCATGAATGTGATCAATGTTCCATAGAACAATGAGTGGAGAGATGAATATACTTGTACAGTGCATTCATTTAATGTATGTATGTTCAACTTATTTCGCACCGCTCATAGCCCACCTAATCTGAGAGGCTTGGCAAGAGTTTAAATTTTTTCCATCAATGCGTGCAATTTAATGCTAATAGAGAAGCCGATTTTTGCATGCAGTATTCTCAATGTTTAGAGAGAATTTTAATTTACGGCACATGCTAATAATGATGTTCCACTTCGTAAATCTAACACTGTTATATATATACAGTATGTACAAAGTATTTTATCTACTGTATTTTATGAACGACAGTACTATTATGAATCTGGACTGAGCAGTAGCGAAAGTGATTAACGCACTGCGCTATGAACCTGCCAAGCTGAGTTTGATTCCCAGCCATGGCTAACATTAAAAGCGAGTGATATCTGAACCAAACCTGGCCCACCCCTTTACCAACCCGGACTGACCAACGTGGTGAAGTATGGTCCAACAACTCCCATGATTGACACAGTATGAGGAGGCCTTCATCTCACATTGGACTGACAAAGGGCTGTACATTTTAAATTGTTATACACAATGCATATCACAGTTTGCCTGTAAGTACATATTTTATTTTTTATTGCAGTACATATTTAACAATTTTCTATTCTTTAAACTATTGCGAATTTATTCAACTGGGCCAAAACATTAATAAATCCAAATTTAAAACAATTTCATTACAAATCTCTGCAATCATCGCCTGTAAGTGTAATAACCAACCTAAAATGATGAATTTAGATTATCCAAGTTAAATATAGCTCATTGAAGATTGACGTCAGGCAGGTCCAGTGCCTGACCCTATCCCCACTCATCCCAGTAGTCACATAAACATTACATTCTCAATTCCAATTCAGAAATTTGGGACACGTCCCCACACATTAGGCAAATGTTGCATGACCCATCTATTACAGCTTAACCGCTCATTTACCGGTTTTAGCTTTCATTTCTCTCTCAGATCAGTAATGCACCGATATATGCTACAACGCAGCCAATAAACAGATGCACATTTCCAGATGTTGGTGCAATGAAGATGAATAAGCACATTAGTTTTCAAATAATGATAATATTCATGTTTAGTAATTTCAAATTAACCACGCAAGAGTACAAGTCTGCAATGTTAATGGAAGGAAGAGAAGGTATCAACATGTATATATTTGATGTCACCTTACATAGGGGTCAGTCATGCACAAACTGTACCGTAATAAGAGCTTGAAATTGTATCCCACAACACCAATATAGAGCTGTACGCATTTAAAATGCCTCTTCAGTCCACACGCCAGCCGCACAATTGTGTTTTTCCATGGAAACAAATAGTGGTGTCGCATGTCACCTACAGTACACACTACAATTATATTGGCTATATAGTAACTGGATAATTGCAGGAACCGTTATGTGTTAAGATTGTTGCACTTGCTTAATCGACTAAAGATTTTTTCAAAACTCAGCCCATTCACGCTGAGCATGGCTTGCACATAGCCCCAGGTCTGCTGTGCTATACAGCACTGCCAGTGTCAGAACAGAGGACCTGAAGATAGCTATGGGGTGACCACAATAAAATAGGCTGAAATTACAATAGTGAAGGCTGCCTTGAACCCCACCAAATTGCTGCCAATGGAACTCTATACCACGCATTTGCCTACAGCAATTATAATCTTTTATTTCAGCATTCAAATTGTGATAGCAGTTGGTATGTGCATTATGCACAGGATGTAAGATGCCAAAGTAAGATAGCCACACTGACTAAAGAACCATTCCCTGTTGTTAACGATGGCACCCAATTTTTAACTCAGATGATCTGTCATCAGTTAAAGCCAGTAAATCATATCCTGTATCTCGTGGATAGTAACATGGTTTTGCAACGATATTTTCCAAGTCCTGTAGTGCACGTATTTATTCGGTTATAGTTGTGAATGTACTGCAAGAAATATACAGTATATCCATTACAAAACGGTTCCATAAAGCAGTGCTGATAGCATTACACTCTATTGACTCTGCTACATTGCCGTTGACAAAGCACACGTACAGGGCTGGTAATAAAAGTACTTTGTACATACTGTATTAACAGCCAAAAGGTGTGCATTGGCTAAGAGAGAAACAAACAACCTCACTATCGGAGCAGGGACGACATGGGTACAAAATAGAAACGTAGAATTCCGGGATGGACAATTACAATACCGAAAAAGGGAAGTTTTTTTTAAAATGAAAAGGTCACTTTTCAAACAACTGCGCAGTGTTATCACATGTGAAATTCTTCATGTCAGAAGGCTGATCCCCTTCCTACAATTCCATAGTCCATCATCATAAACCATAGACCCAGAACTGGTCAGTGGCAACAGACATCCTCACAGAGGTTTATGGTCGGTAGCTTTGGGTTCAAGTTGCTTTGTTGGGATGTCTTTGGGGGTTTGTGTTTGTAATGTATGTGTAGTGAAACCAACTGAGTCACAGACGTTGTTCTTCAGAGGCAACACATTTATTTCACAACAAGTATATACAAAAGGGGTAACTGCCCCTTTACCAGATACAGCCTAGGGTGGTGACCACCCAGCTAACTACACTACCATACAGGAGTCACGGCTACGATGGACCAGACCCTCACTCGGGTCCTGGGCCATGTGTTGTTGCCTCTTCAGACATAGGACGTGGAGCTTCCAGCTTGTAGAATGAAGCGACCCCAGTCCCTTCCAGGGACCCACCTTATATCCTCCCGGGTCGGGGCCGGCTCCGCCCTCGGCCCCGCCCGCCTTCTCGAGCGTTCTAGGTCCCTCTCAATCCCTCTCGAGAGCTCTCCCTAGACACGTGATCACCCCCGAGCCCCCCCCCCCACCCCCCACCTGGGGGCCTCTCTATGGACAATCCAGATCACGTGTCTACGGGGTCAACCAGAGTGCCATGGCTCAGGGCAACCCTGTCCCTGGGCTGACACTCACCCCTCCCCCTCGTGGGAGTTCGCACTGCGCGCTATGCGTGGTGCCCGCGCTATCCCAGCGCTCACCAAGCCCCGCTAGGGCTGGTACTACACCCATCTACGGGGTGTACGCGATGACAGTGCATCGCACGCCGTGCTGTGCTAGAGCCGGCCTCACTCAGCAACACACACGATGCTGTCCACGACGCAAGTACATCGCACGCCACGGCCCTCCCGGGCCGGCACCACATAGTGACATCCCCAATGTCACTACATATGTATATTGTACTTCAATCACACTGTACAGAGCCAACCGTGCGAATCAGAGGTGTGGGGGAAGGACAACAAACTCATGGAAGGTAATATGCTTGGCCTTCATGCCCATGGGTGTGAAGAGCTGTTTGTTTTGTCCAGCAAAATCAACCCCCTACCTCCTCGTGGTGCGGGGCAGCAACGCTGTGGTGGGCAGTGCCATTGGGGGAGGGCCAATGTAAATTGGCCTTTCCCCTCATGGCGTTTGTAACCACCTCAGCGGCCAAATGGGGGCTCTGGTCGGGTGCGAGGAGCTGGTAACCCCTCCACCTTCAATTAATTACCATAAAACCACGACGGAATTTTTCTATTAATAAGCTTGTGCCGGAGGCTCCGGGGGGACAGGCGTCTATGCCATCTCCTGGCCAAACCCCATTTGGTGGAGCCAGGAGACTGAATCCTTACCCTCGGGGCTCCTCCAGAAACAACAAAAAACCACTAAGTGTGGCCACGTGGAATGTTTAAACGCTCACTGCGGAGGAGAGGCTGCCACTCCTCTGTTGAGAGCTGGACCGGTACCGCCTGGGTCTCTGTGGTATTCAGGAGGTCCGGTGGACCAGCTCTGGCTCCTGCCACCATGAGGGGTGGACAGTCCTCTACTCGGGGCAGGAGACTGCCAAACAACAGGGAGTGGCTCTTCTTCTGAACAAAAGAATGAAGGGGGCTTGGGAGCATGGCGGTGAGGTGTTGGAAGCTATAAGCCCCAGGTTACTTTGGGTTCGCCTTCCCATCAACCAGAGGCGAGGAGTGGTGGTTGTGGTTACTTATGCCCCCACCAAAGACGAACATCTGTGGAGGGATGCAGGCAAGGCCGATAAGTCAGTTGCCTTCTATGACCTCCCGTCATAGGTGCTAGCTAAAGTGGCCCTTAGGATAGAGTCATTTTGTTGGGTGACTTCAATGCCCGAGTTGGTCATGATGCTGGCACCTGGTCTGGAGTGATTGAAAGGTATGGGCCAGACCAGTTCAATAACAACGGCAGGAGGCTGCTAGATTTTTGTGCAGCCCATGGGCTTGTAATTACCAACACACTGTTCCGGCATTGGCGCATCCACACAACATCATGGATGCATGCCGGGTCCAAGCAAGAACATCTGCTGGACTACATAGTGACAGAACAGCGGATGCAGGCCCATGTCCTTGACACCAGGACCTACCGTGGAGCTGATCTGCCACTGACCATCCACTTGTCATCTGTAAGATGCACCTGCTATTCTTCCACTCCGGTGGTGGGTGTACACCCAGGACCCCATTCAAACTCTTAGTGGCATGGTCTCAGCTTGCGGCTGGGGTTGGCATCATCCCCCACTCCTCCTGATGTCGAAGGGAATGGGCGAGGTTTAGGACTGTGGCTCATGCAGCTGCAATGGCTGCTTTGTATACACGGTCCAGACTTCCCCAGAGACCCTGGCTGACAGAGGAGGTGTTCAAGCTGGCTGAGAAAAAGCGACAGGCCAACTCTCATCAGCTACAGCATCCCACGTCGGAGAATGAGGAGGCTTACCGTAGCCTTCGCTCGGAGGTTCTGAGAGC